CCTGCTCTACCAAGCTAGAAACAGAGAAAGTATGCTTGATTTTCTTCCTCTCCCCATTTCTCATTAATCTATGAGCAAGTTCTTTTATTTCCCATCAAGGTCTCCCACTGAGCCCTCCCTCAGTTCGATCTTATTCTTCACTCAAGATCCATCTTCCTCATAGCGCCCAGTGACTTCCTGTGTCACTGTGCTGTTTTAAAACTTCCAGTGCCCCCCACTGCCCAGGGGATCATGTCTAGATTCTAGTTTGACTCAAGGGTCTTCACTCAGATTCCTCTCCAGCTGAATTTCTGCTTCTTCATTCCATGGTTTCCAGACCTTTGCCATATAGAATTTCTCCATGTTCTCCATGTATATTACAGCATTCTGTCACTTCTTCCAAAGACCCTTACTTGGCCCATTTTCAAACTTTTAGTATGGAACATACTATTTCATAATCACATTACATATGTGATTTGATTACACATTTGATTACATCATGTGTTTACCTACATCTCTCCCTACATCTCTCCCTAAAACACCTCCAGCGAGCATTGCCCAATTATCACGTGAGCTTTCTTATTCCTCTTTTTGTTGTTTTTGTTTGTTTGTTTGTTTGTTTGTTTGTTTGAGATAGGGTCTTCTCCAACCCAGTTCGGAGCACAGTGGCACGATCATGGCTCACCACAGCCTCGAACACCTGGCTGCATCTATCCTCCCACTTCAGCCTCTCCAGTAGCTGGAACTACAGGTGTGCACCACCACCCCCGGCTAATTTTTGTACTTTTTGTAGAGACAAGGTTTCACCATGTTGCCCAGGCTGATCTCAAATTCCTGGCCTCGAGTGATCTGCCTGCCTTGGCCTCTCAAAGTGCTGGGATTACAGGTGTGAGCCACTGGCCCCTGCCTCTCTTACTCTTCTTAATGTACCTGGGAATTAGCATACTTCTTAGCACCCAGAGATATTTGTTGAACAATATAGGACCTTGGTTCTTTCACTACCTTTGGCCTTGGATAAATTGCTTAGCCTCTCTCACCCTGTTTTCTCATTTCCTAAGTTCAGAGGGTCTGTAAGAGCCCTTTAAGCAGTGGCATTCCACAATTGCCCTGACCTCTGTGTGCTGTTCTCATGTTCCAAGAGAGCTTCTCTCTCTTTATGGTCAGGAACAATCAAATCAGTTGCGAAAGAGCCTGGCCAGTGACATTGCACCAGCATTTTCCTGAAACCTCTTTGCAAATGATTATTCAGCAAAAGGCTGGGTTAGGCAATAATCTCCTTGGCAAAGTCTCAATCACGGTGGAGAACAAGCTCAGTGACTTGCTCTATGATGTCTGCAAGCCTGAACGACTTCTGCATCACCAAGGGAGCCAGAAAGGAGCTTGTTCCCATTAGGTAGCTCATCTTAGAACCATAAAATCTGAGGATTGCTAGAGAACTTAGAGGTCATATAATCCTCCTGTATACATCCACAGCACACATGTAGTGTAAGGAAGGAACTTGGTGAGACCTGACCTATAGCAACGTCTATACATCACCCCATCATCAAGGGACTGTTTTATGTTCAAAAGTCATTTTCTTTAAGTGAATGACTATGTTTTACTCTATTTCAATGAATCACATACTTAAGAAATTGTTTATGGTGCTTCTTAAATGAATAATTGTTGCTTTCTGCGTTTTGTTGCAAACACGATGAGATTTAGTCTGCTCTGGAAACTTGGCTCTCACATGACATCTACTAAAAAAAAAAGTAATAGATTAACTTGAAGGTCGCAATGTCAGCTTTTTAAATATCTGGGGGTGGGGCAGAATAGTTCCTTTCTAAGAACAATTGTAAACATTTAATTGCTGAAGAGATCAATGCTTGCCTCTCTTACATGACAATCAGAACACAAATGCTGTTTGTCGGCCAGAGAGCCGTGTTTCTGGTGCTGAAAGACAAGGGCATTGGTTTGGCTTTGCACGTGTTATCGTTGAAGGCAATGCTGGCGGCATTTGTGGGCTGTTACATTCCAGCCAGTGAGTGCTGGCTTTAGTATATTTTTCATCAATACGTCCTTCAGATTAATTAAGATAACAAATCCTTTTGGCTACCGGGCCATATTACCTGAGTTGATAGATATTTTTGATTTTAAGGGTCTCCAAAGAGGATCATTATTGGAGTAACACTTGCAAAAATAAAATCTAGCATTCAGAATGAGGGAATAAGCATTGAACCGCAAAAACAATAAAATGCCCAGCAGCCATTCGAAAGTGTTTGCTGTCATCTGCTGGCCAGACTGCAAAACTACAGCAACATTCAGGCGCCTGATGTGAAGTTGTCACCGTTGGTAGAGAGAATATGTTCCTGTTTGCTATGCCCAAGCAAATAGGAACTGACCATTCTTCGAGCAATGGTGATGCAATTTCTGAGGCCTGAGCGAGCTACATAAGCAATACATATTTAAAGACAAAAATATGAGTAGACCTTCCTCAATTGCCTGAAAAAACCAAAAAGAGGAATTTTTTCTGTCATCTCTTCCAAGTCTGAGATTTGGGTGTAATAGCTTAATACAAACACAGAAATTCTAGGTGGTTAGTCAGGAGACCCCCAGGTTCTAGTGGGGGTCACAGGGTGGAATGTACAGTAACGTTTCTGAACCTCAGTTTTCTCATTCGTGAAACCAAAAATTACTAAACTCTCGTCAAGCTCTTGGAGTCTATAAAGGTCTTGTTATCTTTTCTGGACAAAGGTAACAATCCCACAGGTTCTTGCAGGCTGAGTCATTAAAAGTCCAGCAGTGTGACTAGACGCTGACAGTCAGATTCCAACTGAAGTTTAAAGACACGAGACCCTTTGCTTAGATCAACTTTGAGAATAGCCATTTCCTTGGAGGTCAGTGATTTAAGATGGAAAGCAAAAGAGAAGTGGAGAGGTTCGTGCAATACCCGAAGAGAGGAATTGGACAGCTTTCCACCTTTCCTGCCAACTGAAGAGCAGACAGATGCTTCCAGCTCTCCTGGCTTTCCTTTCCACTTTCAGCCCCACCAGCAAATGAGGATTATCCTAGCAGGATTAATAAATCCTCTGAGGACAGGAGGAAAAAGAAAGAGGTGGTACCATACCCCTCCACACACACACACACACAAGATGCTTGTGGTTGTTAATTATTTTTCTACATAATAAAATGTATTATAATAAACCTTATAATGACCTATGAAAATTTACATGGCACATATTAATATCTTAGAACCTATGTTTGGTTGCCAGCCCCTCGCCTGATGATGGCAAGATTTCTAACTCAACACGAAATGTTGTGCTTGTTTCTTTTCTTCAAGTATTCTGACATCTGGACTGGAACACCTGCCATGCACTGGCCATGTGCTAAGCAATGAGGGTCTTCAGCAGTGAGTAAGACAGATGTAGTTCCCACCCTCATGGAAGACACAGTCTATCTGAGACAGACACATAAAACAGAAACTAACTGGGCTTGGTGGTTCACACCTGTAATCCCAGCACTTTGGGAGGCTAAGGTGGGAGGATCACTTGAGCCCAGGGTTTCAGCACCAGCCTGAGAAACATAGCAAGAGTGTTTCTTTAAAAAAAAGAAAAAAAGCCAAGCATGGATGCATGTCTGTGGTCCCAGCTACAGAGGAGGCTGAGGTGGAAGGATTGTGTGAGCCCAGGAATTAAAGGCTGAGCCATGATGGCACCACTGCACTGTAGCCTGGGCGGCAGAGTGAGACCCTGTCTTAAAAAATAAAAATTAAACCAGAAACAACAAAAGCAATGAGGACTAAGAGGAATGCAAGGTGTTTCTCTTTCACGCTTGCCCATTTCCTTGTTATCTTTGTGAGCTCCTAAAAGGCCTGTTCAGCAACTGGAACCACTGCTTAGTGCCACTGGCACTAAGTGTAATAGACAGAAATAGTCCTTCTCCAGGGTGTCCATCTGGAAGCCACTGGCCCACTTGGGCAGCAGATAGCAGTTAAGAAGGAAAGGTCATCACAAAACTCTGAATTTTTAGAAGCAGAAATAACCCTAGAATCAGGTTTTGGGAGTTATAAACCCACAGTTCTCATAGGCTTTAATTCTATGACATAAGAATTATCTCAGGTAAGTTCCCTTATCTGACAAATGGAGAAGCAGCTCAGATTTCTCATGGGGATAGAGACATGATAGATGTGAAAACCTTCCAAAAGTTAAAAGGGCATAAATGAAAATTATTATTGATAATACAGTAAGAAGTGCTTACAAGCAAGGCATGGTGACTCATGCCTGTAATCCCAGCACTTTGGGAGGCTGAGGCAGGAGGATTGCTTGAGGCCAGGAGTTTGAGACCAGCTTGGCTAATGTAGTGAGACTCCAATTCCACAAAATATTTTTTTAAAAAAACAAATTTCAATTAGCTGGACATGGTGGTGTGCACCTGTAGTCCTAGCTACTCAAGAGGCTGAGGAGTGAGGATCTCTTGACCCCAGGAGTTCAAAGTTTGCAGTGAACTGTGATTGTGCCACTCCAGCCAGGACAACAGAGTCACACCCTGTTTCTAAAAAAATGTTTTAAAAGATGTGCTTATGATAAATCATAAAACAAATTTCTTTTTCTTTTTCTTTTTTTTGGGCGGTGGGGAGCAGAGTCTTGCTCTGTCACCCCAGGCTGGAGTGCAGTGGTGCAGTCTTGGCTCACTGCAACCTCCACCTCCCAAATTCAAGCAATTTCCCTGCCTCAGCAGGAATTTTTTTTTTTTTTTTTTTTTTTAATTTTCAGTAGAGGCGGGGTTTCACCATGTTGGCCAGGCTGGTCTCGAACTCCTGACCTCAAGTGATCCGCTCGCCTCAGCCTCCCAACATATAACAAATTTCTCAAATCCTTTCAAAATTTAGTCATTTTTAAAAGTTACCTTCCTAATTTTACAATCAGTAATTTTTACCACATAAATCACATATATTTTTAGAGATTTTTTTAAAATTTCCTGACAGGTGCTTTGACTTCCTAATACATGACAAGTGAATTCATTGTCTCGAAACTGCTTCTTTCTAGCATCCCCAAATTCAGAAGGAGTCCCAGTATATCAAGTATCTCTGCTGTGATGACGCAAGAACCCTTAACCAGTGGGTGATGGGAATACGGATAGCCAAGGTGAGAGAGCGTTCGGACTTCACCCTGTCTTGCATTTGCCAGCCCACTTAGTGACCCGGGCGCAGCTTTCCTGATACTATGAAACAGTTGGCCTACCCTTGGGTTCAGCCACAGACATTATCAAGTGTATTTGCCAGTGGGTTTTCTAAATGAGGAGAGCGATAGAAACACGAACCTCTCCAGTAACCGGATATTTACTCATGGCGAGTATTGCAAGCTTAGTGTGCAATTAAAAACGCAAGATGGGGCTGGACCCGGTGGCTCATGCCTGTAATCCCAGCACTTTGGGAGGCCGAGGCAGGCAGATCACGAGGTGAGGAGATCGAGACCATCCTGGCTAACACAGTGAAACCCCGTCTCTACTAAAAATACAAAAAATTAGCCGGGCGTGTTGGCGGGCGCCTGTAGTTCTAGATACTCGGGAGGCTGAGGCAGGAGAATGGCGTGAACCCGGGAGGCGGAGCTTGCAGTGAGCAGGAGATCGCGCCACTGCACTCCAGTCTGATCGACAGAGTGAGACTCCATCTCAACAAAAAAAAAAAAAAAAAAAAAAAAAAAAAAAAAATACGCAAGATGGAATCTATGATCGAGTTACATAAAGACATACGTAATCAGAACTGAGTGGCCAAAGCTCTCTCTAATATGTTGGTGAAAAAATTAACTGACTCTGCCAATCTGGAAAATGATTGAATGTGTATTTGTTAAATTTTAATGGAAATATCCAAAAACACCAACTCAGACAAGTGGTGAACAGAGTAGCCGTGGAGTATTTATTTCTTCTCTATGTTTATATTGCAATTGAGTGCAGAATTTGGGATAAATGGATTCCTTTCCTTCTTTGTGTTCTCTCCCCAGTATGGGAAGACTCTCTATGATAACTACCAGCGGGCAGTGGCAAAGGCTGGACTTGCCTCTCGGTGGACAAACTTGGGGACAGTCAATGCAGCTGCACCAGCTCAGCCATCTACAGGTACTAAATGGAGGAGAAATTCCAACACATATTCAAAGCTCAGTGCTCCTGTTCAAAACGTATCCAACACATCTATACAAACAGAACTTTGTAGACGGCTTCGGAATATGTTTTCTTTTTCTTTTTCTTTTCTTTTTTTTTTTTTGAGACAGAGTCTCTCACTGTCGCCCAGGCTGGAGTGCAGTGACGCAATCTCAGCTCACTGCAAGCTCTGCCTCCTAGGTTCACGCCATTCTCCTGCCTCAGCTTCCCGAGTAGCTGGGACTACAGGTGCCCACCACCACGCCTGGCTAATTTTTTGTATTTTTAGTAGAGGCAGGGTTTCACCGTGTTAGCCAGGATGGTCTTGATCTCCTTACCTCGTGATCCACCCACCTCGGCCTCCCAAAGTGCTGGAATTACAGGCGTGAACCACCACACCCGACCTGTTTTCTTTTTCTTCTTTGCTTTTTTTTTTTTTTGGAGGTAAGGTCTTGCTCTGTCTCCCAGACTGGAGCCCTGTATCTATTTAAGTGACTTTTAAGAAAGTTTTGACCACTTATTTTATGATATTCTGTGGATAAGGTGCTGATCTCCTGTTTAGGGTGAGCTCGTAGGTGGATGTTTCTTATCAGAGTACAAATATTATATTAATCCAAGGCTCCATTAGTGCCCAGAAAATTGTCCACATGAAGAATGAGATTATGTCCCAGTGTTTTGACATCTTGCACCCAGTCCTGAACAGCATATTTGAAGGTAACATGAGTCAAAGTTTCATGTCAAAGGGACAAATTAAAAGGCACGAAAATAAAATAGCATACCAGGACTTTTGGGGGGGGAAAAAAAAACACATCTAATTCCAGATTATTTCAGGGACCTGCACATTTTGCCCAAATTTCTGTCCATTGTTTCTGTGTCCAATGTACTTTTTGTTGAGGACAATGTTGAAGAGTTGTTCCTGTATTCAGTGTGGTATGAAACTGGATAGATACATTTTTAAAAAATCAAGAAGAATTTTTTAAAACACGTTTTCAAGGTTTATTCTTCAATTACTGAAAAGTTTTTAAAAGTAAAACATATTGTTACTCTCCAGGATCCCAGTTAATCCAGATCCTCCTCGGTGGGCTTTATCAAATACCACCCTCACCTTCCTGAATCTTTTGCTGAATCTCCTATAAAGTTTTGTCACAGAACCTCAGATTTTTCATAAGGTTTTGTGTACCATGCCATGCCTGTGAATTGCTCTCTTTGCTTTGTTTTTATTATTTTTTTTTGGTAAGAAGTAGCCAGCAAGTGTCTTTCTTTGCTTTAGAGATGTAAACTGCTTTGTATTTTCAGATTAACTTTCAAGAATGTTGAAAATGCTTTGCTCGCTCTTCTTTTCTCGCTTCCTCCCTCTCAGGACCTATAAATGGCACCGCCCAGCCCAATGGACAGATGCCCCAGGCTGCACATTCTGTCAGTGCTGTTCTGCAAGAGGCCCAGCGACATGCTGAAACGTCAAAGGTAAAACCAGCAAGCAGCTGATATACATTCCATCAGCCCATGTTTCCAAAGCCCATGTTCTCAACCATTCGCATTGTTCCAATAACTGCTCTTTTAAAAAGCCGGGTGCAGTAGCTCACACCTGTAATCCCAGAACTTTGGGAGGCTGAGGCAGGAGGATTGCTTGAGCTTCAGTTCGAGACCAGACTGGGCAATATAGAGAGAGCTTGTCTCTACTAGAAAAAAAAAAAAAAAAAATTAGCCAGGTGTGGTGGCATGCACCTGTAATCCCAGCTACTGGGGAGGCTGAGGTGTTTGACTGGCTTGAGCCCAGGAGATCAAGGCGGCAGTGATCTGTGATCACGCCACTGCATCCAGCCTGGGTGACAGAGTAAGATCCAGTCAAATAAATAAATAAATAGAAAATGTAGTTCCAACAACTGAGACATTACTACAATTTAATTTAGTTCATTGCTTGATATTTGTAATCTTAAAGTTACATATGCTAGAATCAAAAGTTAAAACCAGCTATCATCACACTGCCTAGGAAAAACGTAAGAATTTCCTTAACACTCTGAAGTAAATTAGCTACTTTTACTTTGACCAAAGTGGTTTTCTTGGTTTAGTCAAGTGATCTTAGCCCTCTCTGATAGTAGCACATCCAAGTTTTAAACGCTTGGGATTTTACTTGCCTTTTTTGAGTAAAATAGGGCAACTAGTAGTCTGAAGCCCTATATGAAGCGTTAACTGGCCCCCAAAATCAGATTAGAAGACTGTTAAAAGAGTTACACTGTAAATAGGGCTGGGCACAGTGGTGAGCACCTGTAGTCCCAACTACTTGGGATGCTGAGGCGGGAAGATCACTTGAGCCCAGGAGTTCAAGGCTGCAGTTGAGTTCTGGTTGCACCACTACACTGCAGCCTGGGTGACAGATAAAGACCCTGTTTCAAAAAAAAGAAAAAAGACAAAAAAGGGTTTCACTAAAAATGTGCATTTTCTATTTTCCCCATTAGTGTCCTTCCTACATACATCCCCAGGTGACGGAGGAGAAAATACATTGTAAAGTAATAGCCAAATTGGTATAACATTCTCCATAAAATTTTTCAACCAAATAGATCAATGAGGATTCCTTTAAATCTATCTTAAAATCATAGCTAATAATTATGATTTAGTTACTAATTTAGTTCAAAACTTCTCAGCTGACTGTATAAATTCTGTTGAATATTTCTCATGTGTGAGTCAAAACAACCTTAAATAACTGTGACAACAGCATGTCACCCAGCTAGGACAGGCAGGGTGCTTCACTTTAGCAATTTTTCACTTCTTTTGCCCCTTCATTTTGTCCATCAGCCAGTCATGAAAACAACTAAATCTTGGTATTTATTGAATTTCTTATAATTTTGACAATCACTGCAGGAAAGTTGTATTTCTTTAATGTTCTCATTATTTTCTCA